ACGGTGTGTCCAGCTCGAGGCACATAGATGTTGGCACATAGAACACGCCAGGCCAGAGAATGCTCGTGAGTACAGAACTAGCATGGAGTCGAGTCCATTTCACCACCTGACTGATGTCATCGTCATCTTCGTGTGCCCTGCCAACTGGCGTAGGCACTCATGCGTTTCCGTAGATCACGATCTTTGGTGGACTGGGACAGTTTTCGTGTTGATATCCCCACTATGCTATCGTTTTAGCCCATCCAGCATCGTCTGTCTTGGTCTGCCTCTACCCCCTTTTCCACTGATCTTTCCAACTGTAACTATGTTCTCCAAAGTCTCTCTTCTCATTATGTGGCCAAAGATCAGTGTTTGTCTCTTTCTTATTGTTGTATATAGAAATCTTCTTTCATTAGCCTCTTTCAAGCAATCGTTGTTATTTACTCTGGCCGTCCAAGGTATTCGTAACATTCGTCCCAGAAACCACATCTCTGTTGCTTTCAAGTTATTCTTAATTTATTCGGTGACATTCCAAGATTCGCTGCCATACAGCAAAACAGGTTTTATGCACCCTCTTGTAGCACCCTCATGTAGGTACTGTTAACGTGATTGTTTCCGATCGAGGCCTGTGTGGAAGTAGCCCCACTTGTCACCAACAAAGAGAGATGACCGAAAACGGCTATGCAAAAACTGGAGTGCTAAACTTGCTGCCCAGTTTGGGATCTGGACGTGTTGATCGTCTAACGGTGGAGCCAGACAAAGTTCTGGTCGGTGCTGTGAGCCGCTTCAGGTGATCAAAACGGGTTACTGACAGTTGAAGGTATCTGGATGCAGACATTAACCAGACTGTCAAAGTGGTCAAGGATGGAGAATGTTGACCGGCTGTAATTAGAACGGCTTCTCGCAAAAGGATTACTTTCTGAGGGATATATGTGGGTGACACTTGTTGCTCCATGTACACTGTGTTTACAATCAGATGCCTGAGGGCGTGTGAAGATGAACACTTGACGCCGACACAGGGCAAAGCCTACCCACTAAAGCACAAACTCCTTATAGGGAGTTGCTCTACGGCAATTGTGCGATGGTGCTACTCGGAAGTAGCTGAAGACTTGTCGGAAGTCGGGGTTGTTATAGAAAACCTGATACATCTTGTCTGATCCCACAGTTGGCTGACGCAGGTCAAGCCTCACACCAGTATCTCCCACACACTGATCTAAGTGTGTGCGATCTAAGTGTCTCGGGGATGGGTTGATGTCAACAATGAAATGAGGACATCCACTTGGGAAAAACCGTCAACAATTACACAGGCCGAACTAGAGATGTCGGTAGCGGGGGAAATGTTGGGAAAACCCCAGGACGCCATGTTATGTGAGGTTAATCTGCTGACTGGGACCGGTCAGTCATTCACGTAGGCACATTTCAGGTCTCCGTGATTCCAGACGTTCAATCATCAGTTGAATATCAATCTGTTCAAGAAGTTCAATCTAGATTCTAGATCATCAGTTGAATATCAATATGTTGCAGACGTTCATTCTAGGCCATTAGTTAAATATAAGTTGGTTCCAGATACTGAATATAGATTCTAGATCATTAGTTAAAAATATCAATACATTCCAGGTGTTCAATCCAGATTATTCACATTAAGTTAAATATCAGTTTATCCCAGATGCTCCCAGATCATTAGTTAAATGTCATTCTATTTAAGGCGTTCAATCTAGATTCTAGATAATTAGTTACATGTCAGTCTATTCCAGACATTTAATCTAGATTGTAGATCAATAATTGTGTCTGTCTTACCAAGACGCCGACTAAAAATTATCCTTCACCCTGCTAGTTCACTTTAGAATTCAGCTAACACCAGTTACTTCACAACATATTTTCTCCTAGGTTGTAAATAGTTCAGATTAGATTTCCCCACACATCACAACTAGTTCACAACATATTTGCTCCTAGGTTGTAATTAGTTCAGATTAGATTTCCCCACACATCACAACTAGTTCACAACATATTTGCTCCTAGGTTGTAATTTGTTCAGATTAGATTTCCCCACACATCACAGCTAGTTCACAACATATTTTCTCCTAGATTATAATTAGTTCAGATTAGATTTCCCCACACATCACAGCTAGTTCACAACATATTTTCCATTAGGTTGTTATTAGTTCAGATTAGATTTTCCCACACACTACAGTTAGTTCACAAAATATTTTCTCCTAGGTTGTAATTTGTTCAGATTAGATTTCCCCCACACATAAGTTATTTTACAACATATTTTCTCATAGGTTGTAATTAGTTCAGATTAGATTTTCCAACACACTAAGTTATTTTACAACATATTTTCTCATTCGTTGTGGTTAGTTCAGATTAGATTTTCCCACACATCACAGCTAGTTCACTTTAGATTCCTTCCACACAGTTCACGTCAGCTTCATAGGCTATTTTAGTTCACAACAGAGTTCCCGCTGTGTCTTAGATGCTGTAGTCTTCGCAGAAATCCTTCTGACGGTTTATTATGCTTTTTTTGAAAAATTATTAAATTGAAACTGCTGAAATTTTAGTACGGAAAAAAAATCTAATGATAATAGCATTATAGGTAATGCCTTTTATTGACAACTTGCATCTAGACATCTTCTTGATGTCTTTGTTGTGTACACAGACTAAAAGAGCCAACAAAGACAGCCATTTTTTTTAGTATTAGTCTCTGAGTGAATATACTTCCCATGCAAATTTAATCATGTTTCCGCTGAACCGGAAATGAGTTGCTCACGAAATGTTTCACAGTTTACAATAACTCTTGGTTGACAAGTCACTGTCACAGATTCAGTCGTTTACAATAAATGATAACTATGATATGTTTAAACATGTCAATAAAGGCCACTTTAAGAACATATCTCTGCATGACTGTAAGTTACGTAACGACATAATGTTAGGACATTTGCAAGAGTTCTTTATATTGCAATGATTATAGAGACACCAAATGACATGTGAAAGGACACGTTTCTAAAGAGAAATATAGATGTTGCTAGTGATGAACGAAAGTTTAGTTGATGACCGTGCGTTCCGTTGGTGACCGGGCGTTCCGTTGGTGACCGGGCGTTCCGTTGGTGACCGGGCGTTCCGTTGGTGACCGGGCGTTCCGTTGGTGACCGGGCGTTCCGTTGGTGACCGGGCGTTCCGTTGGATGACCGTTGGGATGACTTGATGACCGTTGGTGACCGGGCGTTCCGTTGGTGACCGTGCGTTCCGTTGGTGACCGGGCGTTCCGTTGGTGACCGTGCGTTCCGTTGGTGACCGTGCGTTCCGTTGGTGACCGTGCGTTCCGTTGGTGACCGGGCGTTTCGTAGACCATGTCGTTGGTGAGCAGTGTTTGAACTGACGACCGGAAGGCGACACTGACATTCCACGCACATCACTCAGTGTTTGTCCCCCAGGTTTAGACCAGGCTGAGAAAATTCAACAGAAGTGTCTGTTCAAACATGGAGCTTTGCAGATCCCTGACAATATCAAACACTGCGGTTAAACAAGTTGATTCTGGGTCGTTGACAAGGTCGCCAGCAGCCGATGTGGGCACTTGATTGGACACACTATATAATGAATAACGTTTCCTGTCGGCATGCATTAATACAACAGAAATGCCACCACAGCGAACCCGAACCAAAACACTTTATTTAATTGGTCGCTGTTTAGAAGATCAAGAAAGGAATGTTCTCTGAGTATCAGTTGGGAATACTGATGTCCCAGAACTGTCATGGCATCAGAACTGTCGTGGCATTAGAACTGCCTGGGCACCCGAGAACTGTCCTGGCACCCGATAACTGTACTGGCACCCGATAACCGACTGAGCACCCGATAACCGTCTGAGCACCCGAGAACCGTCTGAGCACCCGGGAACCGTCTGAGCACCCGGGAACCGTCCGAGCACCCCAGAACTGTTCGAGTAGCCCAAAGCTGTGCAAACATCCTAGTGCTGTCAGGGTTACTGTAGTTGCACTACTTCTATTTTTGATGTCATTTGTCTGAGATGGTTAGCATCGGTTCTGACTGATGACGTAGGCTTGAGGATTGATTGTTTGAATGTATGTTACTACACTCATCTACTCTTGAGGGAGACAATCATCTTCTAGAAAAAAATGCCTGGAGTAGACCTGAGTTTAAGTAATGCCGGTAGTGAGCGGTGGATTTGTTCTCACTGTTAGGCCTACAGTCGTTGGTGTAGCAGATTGTATTATCATTTCCATTGTCCGAAAGTCTGTGGTCTATTATTGATATTATGGCAGAAATTTGCAGCAGTTAATTGTGCTGCCATATACATTGTGACAACCCTCGCACTGCATACACACTGACAACCCGAGAACTGCATAACACTGTGACAACCCCCGCACTGCATAAACACCGTGACAACCTCCGCACTGTATACACACTGTGACAACCTACGCAATGCATACACACTGTGACAACCTCCGCACTGCATACACATTGTGACAACTCCTGCACTGCATACACACTGTGACAACCTACGCACTGCATACACACTGTGACAACCTACGCACTGCATACACATTGTGACAACCTACGCACTGCATACACATTGTGACAACTCCCGCACTGCATACACACTGCGACAACCTACGCACTGCATACACACTGTGACAACCTCCGCACTACATACACACTGTGACAGCCCTGCACTGCATACACACACACTGACAATCCCAGGACTGCATACGCACACACTGACAACTCCGCACTACATACACAGTGTGACAACCAACGCACTGCATACACATTGTGACAACCCCCGTACTGCATACACATTGTGACAACTCCCGCACTGCATAGATACATCACCACACCGATGGTATACACGTCGTGTCTTCCGTCTGTTGCATCACGCTTGTCTGTCATGTCGACATTTTAATTATCCATTGAATATTATTGTCACTTATTTCTCGACGGCATTATCTTAACGTCTGACAAACACATCATCATCATCATCCAGTTAAATATTTTGTCTCCTGCAGACTTTTGAACGAAGCTGAAAAGAAGCCATTTGTGGAGGAAGCTGAGCGACTGCGGGTGCAGCACAAGAAAGACCACCCTGACTATAAGTACCAGCCACGTCGCAGAAAGACTCCCAAGAACAGTAGCCAGAATGGAGGCCAGCCAGCAGCTGCCGGTGGAGCTCATGGGGTCAAGTCCTCGGCTGGCGGCCGCGACACGTCGTCGCCCAGCGACGAGTGCTCCAGTGAGTGCTCCAGCCAGCCCGGCAACTCCAACGGTCCGCCCACACCCCCGGTCACTCCCAACCAGCATGAACAGGCGAGCCTCAAGTGTATGTACGACAGACGACATCGGGGCTATATCATGGGTGAGTACACACGTGAGTGAGTCAGTCAGTCAGTAGCTCTCTGAACATCCTAGTACACATACATACATATACACACAGAGATGGAAGAAACTCACAGAGAGAGGAAGGGCGTCAGGGAGAGAGCGAGAGAGAGAGAGAGAGAGAGAGAGAGAGAGAGAGAGAGAGAGAGAAGAGAGAGAGAGAGAGAGAGAGAGAGAGACAGAGAGAGAGAGAGCGAGAAAGAGAGCGACTGTAATTACTGAATGCAAACATTCCTAAAGAAATCTAGAGAAGTAGGCACACGTGTTGGGGGCCTATGCTCCAGTAGGATATACAGGACTGAAGACAAACGGACAGGGATATGTGCATCAGTTCACGCTAGAATGAATGACTGGGGCCATTTTCACAAACCGTGACTAACATTTTTGTCATAAAAGAGCACACAATTTTTAACGTTTCTGGTTCAAGACGCTGGGCCTCAGTCAAACGTTCATTATTATTGATATTATTGTTGTAGTAACACATAAATGTACATCGAACCTTTCAGTGTATATCACAATTGACCTAGAGAGGTTTGTGCGTCACATATGAATGTACATCGAACCTTTCAGTGTATATCACCATTGACCGGGAGCGGTTTGTGGGTCACACATGAATGTACATCGAACCTTTCAGTGTATATCACCATTGACCGGAAGCGGTTTGTGCGTCACACATGAATGTACATCGAACCTTTCAGTGTATATCACAATTGACCTAGAGAGGTTTGTGCGTCACACATGAATGTACATCGAACCTTTCAGTGTATATCACCATTGACCGGGAGCGGTTTGTGGGTCACACATGAATGTACATCGAACCTTTCAGTGTATATCACAATTGACCGAGAGCGGTTTGTGCGTCACACATAAATGTACATCGAACCTTTCAGTGTATATCACAATTGACCGAGAGCGGTTTGTGCGTCACACATAAATGTACATCGAACCTTTCAGTGTATATCACAATTGACCGAGAGCGGTTTGTGCGTCACACATAAATGTACATCGAACCTTTCAGTGTATATCACGATTGACCTAGAGAGGTTTGTGCGTCACACATAAATGTACATCGAACCTTTCAGTGTATATCACGATTGAACTAGAGAGGTTTGTGCGTCACACATAAATGTACATCGAACCTTTCAGTGTATATCACGATTGACCTAGAGAGGTTTGTGCGTCACACATAAATGTACATCGAACCTTTCAGTGTATATCACGATTGACCTAGAGAGGTTTGTGCGTCACACATAAATGTACATCGAACCTTTCAGTGTATATCACAATTGACCGAGAGCGGTTTGTGCGTCACACATAAATGTACATCGAACCTTTCAGTGTATATCACGATTGACCTAGAGAGGTTTGTGCGTCACACATAAATGTACATCGAACCTTTCAGTGTATATCACGATTGACCTAGAGAGGTTTGTGCGTCACACATAAATGTACAAACTCAGTGTAACCCTTTCAGTGTATATCACGATTGACCTAGAGAGGTTTGTGCGTCACACATAAATGTACATCGAACCTTTCAGTGTATATCACGATTGACCGAGAGCGGTTTGTGCGTCACACATAAATGTACATCAAACCTTTCAGTGTATATCACCATTGACCGAGAGCTTTTTGTGAATTGGCATTTACATACACTTGCAGAGAAGTCTGCTTTGGAAAAAGCTGTATAGTCAGAACAGAATGTTCAGTAACTTGGATGCCAGATGTTAGAATTTGAACATAATTCTCTATACCCCTCCCCCCTCCGCCCCTAGAGAGAGAGAGAGAGAGAGAGAGAGAGAGAGTATGAGAAAGAGAGAGAGAGCGAGAGAGAGAGAGAGAGAGAGAGAGAGAGAGAGAGAGAGAGAGAGAGAGAGCGGGGATAGGTGCAGAAAAAGATGATCGAACAAACATTGATTTTCAAATTATTACGAATTGGGTGAGAGGCCCATCTGACATTCTGAAAAAAAAAATCAGAGACAGACAGACAGGAGAACAAAAAGAGGGTGAGAAAACAGAGCGAGTGTGTATAAGCAAAACGGAGATTGATAGAATGAGGAAAATATTTTTTTATAATTTTTTATTTATAATTTTTTGGGCGGGGGGGGGGGGGGGGGTATTCATACTCAATAAATATTATATTGCATTTATATATATATTGAATATAACAGTGTGACGAGAACCACTTGTTTTCTGTTTTAGGGCCCTCTGGACACCCCATAGATTTCAGCAGAATGGATCTGAGTCCCGAAGTGATTGAACAGTTCGATGATCAGGATCTGGATCAGTACCTGCCGCCGTCTGGCATGGCTCATCCACTGGCGCAACACAATCCCCACCATGGCGACAGCGGATACTCAGGCTGCTACATCACTGGACCCATGCAAGCCGCCTCTTCGGGACTGTCTGGATGGCCACCATCTTATCGCATGACTTCAGCAAGCTCTTCTTGTCTGCCACCTTACATGACACAGAACTCCACAAATGTCGCACCGCCTCCACACACCATGCAAGCTCCTTACGACCTGTCCGAACAAGCAACTCCAGACAACAGGTCGCCACCCATTGCAACATCTTCAGCGTCATCTCGTGCCACGACGTCGCAGGCATCGCCCCAGAACCTGGCCAGCAGCGACAATTTTCTCAACACAAACATCTCCGAGTGCAAATATCGTAGCGATGACGCTTGTTCCGTGAAAATGGAGCAGCAACAGGCTCAGTCGCAGGCCATGAGAACCTCGTCAAATCTCCAGTCCTTCCGTTGTGACCCTAAATATGATGCCAGCGCTTTTAGTGGTAGCCAGCCCACCACTCGATACAACCTGGACTCCGGGTCGAACATATACACTCACATGTCTGGGCCCTACGTGCCACAGAATGGCTCCGGGTCTCACGTCGCACCGTCTGGGTATCAGTATAACATGAGCCTGCACAGACCCGGCATGTTTAACGCCATCCCCGCAGCCGTGCCAGCAGAGCAGACGTGGGAGCGTTTTGGTTAGGGCACACAAGTACATAGACAGACACCTAGCCAATGTGGCGAACCCAGTGTATAAAGAAATGCACACAGACATAAAGCCAGTATGGCGAACCCAGTGTATAAAGACATGTACACAGACCGAAAGCCTGTAAGGCGAACCCAGTGTATAAAGACATGCACACAGACAGAAAGCCCGTTAAGGCGAACCCAGTGTACAAAGACATGCACACAGACAGCCGACGAGGCGAACCCAGTGTACAAGGACAGCAAATCTCCAGTCTGTAGCTGAGGATGGATTTGCGTTCAGCCAAGTGGCCGCTAGCAGTTTATTAGTGTACCCAGCAATGTTATCTCATTTTGTATTCATTTCGTCTACTCTGTCCAGAATAAGTCTGCTCAGTTTTATACGGAGATTTATTACTTTTGTATTTGTTCAAATGACTTCATTGGTTATAGTAGCAGACTCAGTTGGTCTGTATTGATTGCCGTAGTGGCAACTGCAGTTTATTAGCACACAGCATGATGGATCAGCTGAGACTGCTGACTTTGGTGTGTCATCCACAGAGAGGACAGTGGTGATAGTTGACGTGTAACCCACACAAGTGTTCAACTGTTTATCCACATGCTCTTGTTGTATTTCACCTCAACTATGCAATCATGTTTGCCTGTATTGCATGCACTTCACCGAGAATTACTGTCCTGCACAAATGCACCATGTCATTTATATCGTAGCTACTGTGTATGACAGGCTGACTGTGTGACTGCTAGACGATGTGACTGCGAGACCGTGTGACTGCGAGACCGTGTGACTGTGAATGGTATCCCGCTGAGGTGTTCCTCACACGAGCATATTTTCCTGTGTAAAAAAAAAAAAAAAGCAACATTATGCCTACGCGCGTATTTACAAAACATGAAGTCATATTCATGTTCCTCCATCACATGGACATTGTCCTCTATCACATAGACATTGTCTTTCACATAGACATTGTCCTCTGTCACATAGACATTGTCCTCTGTCACATAGACATTGTCCTCTGTCACATGGACATTGTCTTTCACATAGACATTGTCCTCTGTCACATATTGTCCTCTATCACATAGACATTGTCTTTCACATAGACATTGTCCTCTGTCACATAGACATTGTCCTCTGTCACATGGACATTGTCTTTCACATAGACATTGTCCTCTGTCACATATTGTCCTCTATCACATAGACATTGTCTTTCACATAGACATTGTCCTCTGTCACATGGACATTGTCCTCTGTCACATAGACATTGTCTTCTATTACATGGGCATTGTCCTCTATTGGCTCATCACGTGGGCATTGTCCTCTATTGGCTCATCACGTGGGCATTGTCCTCTATTGGCTCATCACATGGGCATTGTCCTCTATTGGCTCATCACATGGGCATTGTCCTCTTTCGCATAGACATTGTCCTCTTTCTCATAGACATTGTCCTCTTTCGCATAGACAGTCCTCTTTCGCATAGACATGGTCCTCTTTCGCATAGGCATTGTCCTTTTTCGCATAGGCATTGTCCTCTTTCGCATACACATTGTGCTCTTTCGCATAGGCATTGTCCTCTTTCGCATAGACATTGTCCTCTTTCGCATAGACAGTCCTCTTTCACATAGACATGGTCCTCTTTCGCATAGGCATTGTCCTCTTTCGCATAGGCATTGTCCTCTTTCGCATAGGCATTGTCCTCTTTCGCATACACATTGTCCTCTTTCACATAGGCATTGTCCTCTTTCGCATAGACAGTCCTCTTTCGCGTAGACATTGTCCTCTTTCGCATAGGCATTGTCCTTGATCATCTCCTCTTATTGCGACGCCATCGCTGTCAGACTGTAGCACATTGCCCGATCTGCAGTGTCGCTTACACATACTCCTACACTCACCATTACTCTCTCTCTCTCTCTCTCTCTCTCTCTCTCTCTCTCTCTCTCTCTCTCTCACTTGCATGTATACACACACACCCGCTCGCTCGCTCTCTCTCTCACTCACACTTGAACACACACAGACACGAGCTCTTGGAGTTTCCCTTTAAAAAAACCTAAGACTGTATCTACAGCGTACAGAACACACATTCTTTGAGTTGCCCATTGAGAAACCCCAATGACTGATTCTGCAGGTGCGGCTGCAGAAATGCCCGCTGGCCCTGGGGACAGCCGTGTGGTCCCAGATTGTCATGTCTGGATCACTGACTTATTACAACAGGAAATGTTTGCTCCATAAACGTGTCAGTATCTTGTCACCTGTTTACGGTAACAGCCACTGTGTCTCTTAAGTTAGTTTGTAAGCAGGAAATGTAAAACGTCAATTAATAATCACTGTCCGGATCAGGTCTGTGACTGATAACCGAACAGACGGATCGCAGAAATTGCTTCTTATAATTGGAAGGAGCCTCATTTCACTGTCGGCTTGGCACAAAAATAAAACCTTTATTTAAAGTGAACAATATGTGCATATTGTACTTAGTTTTACACAGCTAACAATATAAACTTCTATAGAAGAATAGTAGCCCGCGCTACAGCGTAGTCGATAGCGCTTTGGACGTCGGGTGACACTTCCCATGCGTGTCCAGTCTTGGGTTTGAGCCGGGGGATGGCAGAAAAGCCGCAAACTCCTCAGATTAACGGTGTATGTTGCACCGAGGTTAAAGGGCTTCGATGCTCACAACACTGAGACAAGTGAGCTATGCTCAAGTGCTTCTGGTTTAAAAAAACTAAACAAAAATAGTAGAAGTAAACATAAGATCAGTAATGTACAAGAAGGTATTGTAATGCTGTAAAGCCATCGTGTCCTTGAGACTAGAACTCTCTGTGCAGCCATGTTCCGTATCTTACGCTAAAGCAGAATCTGTGTTAAATTTGCTTTCCTTTAGCATTATAAGCAGTAGTCACATCCAGCTGCATACAGTACTGTGTAGAAGTTATCCATGGACAGTGTTCAAGATATCTGTCTAACTTACGCATTTGGGAAAAAAAGGGGGGGGGGGGGGGGGGGGGGGGGCGACATATAACAGAAACAGTTAATCGAAGTTTTGCTGATCTTGGGTATTTTATGTTTATATATGTGTGCGTATGTGTGTGCCACTGTGTGTGTCTTGTGCATGCCACTGTGTGTGTGTGTCTTGTGCATGGCACTGAGTGTGTGTGTGTCTTGTGCATGCCACTGTGTGTTTGTGTGTGTCTTGTGTATGCCACTGTGTGTGTGTCTTGTGTATGCCACTGTGTGTGTCTTGTGTATGCCACTGTGTGTGTGTGTGTGTCTTGTGTATGCCACTGTGTGTGTGTGTGTCTTGTGTATGCCACTGTGTGTGTGTGTCTTGTGTATGCCACTGTGTGTGTGTGTGTGTGTCTTGTGTATGCCACTGAGTGTGTGTCTGTCTTGTGTATGCCACTGAGTGTGTGTGTGTCTTGTGTGTGCCACTGAGTGTGTGTCTGTCTTGTGTATGCCACTGAGTGTGTGTCTGTCTTGTGTATGCCACTGTGTGTGTCTTGTGCATGCCACTGTGTGTGTGTGTGTCTTGTGTATGCCACTGAGTGTGTGTGTCTTGTGTATGCCACTGAGTGTGCGTGTCTTGTGTGTGCCACAAAAAAACTTCCCACCGGTTTTTACAGCTGATGAACACAAAAAAGAAGAAAAAGAAGAAGAAATGTATGTGTATGTCTTGTATATGTCAGTGTGTGTGTATGATGTGTATCTGGCAGAGCCTGTCTGTATGTTTACATATTTCAAAACGCACTTATTTTAATTATTCTTTCGTCCTGATTTAAAGATATTTTTTTTAGCACTCAATGTCAACACCACCATCCCCACAACCGGTTCGGTCATGTTTCACGGCACTTCATTTTTCCAGATTTAACGTCTAGACTGTATCTGTTTCAATGTTATTTGATACATTTCTGTCTCAATGCATAACAATAATTATGAAATAAATATTTGCATACCCTTTCTCTCTTGCATCTATATTTGTATATCTCCTCTCTCTTATGTATATTTGTATATCTTCTCTCTTATATGTATATTTGTCTATCTTGTTTCTCTTGTATGTATATTTGTATATCTTCTCTCTCTTGTATGTATATTTGTAAATCCGTTTCGCTCTTGTATGTATATTTGCATATCTGCTCTCTTGTATGTATATTAGTATATTTGCTCTCTTGTTATATATGTGTATATCTTCTCTCTCTTGTATGTATATGTGAAAATCTTTTCTCTTTTGTATGTATATGTGTATATCTTCTCTATTTTTTATGTATATGTGTATATATTCCCTCTCTTGTATGTATATTTGCTGAATATTTGTTGTGTGTCCAAATTTGTGTAACAAAAGAATTAAGATTTAATAACCTTCAAAGAATAATCAAGGTTTAACGATAACCTGAAAAAATTATCAAGATTTAGTATCTTCTTCTTCTTCTGCCTTTCTATCCCCCAATGGAGCATAGGCCCTCAACCAACTCACGCCAAGTCGTTCTATCCTTCGCCATTACATGGAGCTCTCCACATGTCCTCCCAATCTTTCTAACCTCGTTCTCCAGCTCTCTTCTCCATGTGTTTTTTTGGCCTTCTTTTATTCCTATGCCCCTGTGGGTTCCAATGCAAAGACATTCTAGTAATGCTGTTCTCCTGTTTTCTCAGTGTGTGTCCTATCCAACGCCAGCGTCTTTTCCTCACTTCCTGATCCACTGGAGCCTGTTTAGTTCTCTCCCAAAGTTCTACATTAGTTATTCTATCATACCATTTTATTCCCTCTATTCTGCGCAGGCACCAGTTAATGAATGTCTGTAATTTATTAGTAATTGCCTGGGTTGTTCTGATTTAGTGATATGCCTCAGAGAATTTTCAAGATTTAAAGATAAGCCTCAGAGAATTATCAAGATTTTATGATACGGTGCAGAGAATTATAAAGATGTAAGGATACGCCTTAAAGAATTTTCAAGATGTAATAATCCGCTTAAGAGAATTATCTAGATGTAATGATACGCTTCAGATAATTATCAAGA